AGAATATGAAGGACGGAGGAAATAAAGACAACGAATGGGAGCAGCAAAAAAAAAAAAAAAAAAAAAAAAAAAAAAATTGGAGTGTAAAGGGAAAGGGCTTGACATTAACATCCGTAAAAAATAATCTGATTATAAAATACCACACAATAAATCAATAAACAAAATAAGAAAAAGGAGAATACGTAACGAATAGAAAAAAAACGAGAGAAAAAGAAACGCTAGAACCTGAATCAGACCAAACAAATCAACACTAAAGAAACAAAACAAACAAACAAATAAAACACGATCCCTGGTAAATCGTCCTCAACCTCAAAAACCCGCAACCCCCCCCCCCCGCCCCCAAACTCATGCTGTGAGCCCTCCTTTCTTTGTTTACATAGAGGATCCCTCAGCGAACGCCGCTCTTCTGTTTACAGCGGAGGCTTTGCGCATCTCGCGTTTCTATTTTATTTCTTTTTGATGGCGGACTTGGCGTTTCATTTCTCCGTGTGGATTTTAATGTTGTTTGGGTTGTTCTTGTTCCTGCCATTATCGTCATCGTTAAAATGACATTATAATTACTGTTGCCACTTCACTATTGCCAGCGTCATTATCATTATAATTATTTATTCCGATTGATAGGATTAGCATTATTAGTAGCATCATTATTACAATCAATACAGTCATTTTCTATGTCGGTTTGATGTTGATATTATTCTTATCATCAAAATTATTAACCTATTTTTATCGTTTCTTCTATAATTTATCTAACTATTAAATATACAGAGCTACAGCAGTGAACTATAGATAAATAATTATCTTTTAAAGAAAAATCTAAGAAAAAAATATAAAGGCGAAGAGTGGAAAAAGAAAGAAAAAGAAGCAAAAGCGGGAAAACAAGCAGAAAAAAGGAGAAAATGAAGTAGATAAAGAAAAAGAAGAAGTAAAATAAAGGAGACAGAAGATGATGATGACCATGAAGAATAAGAATAAAAGAAGAACGACAAGAAAAAGAAACAGAAGAAAACAGGTAGAAACAGAATGAGAATAAGAAAAAAAACAAAAGTAAAAAAGTAAAAAAAAGAAAAAAAAAAAAAAAAAAAAATATATATATATATATATATATATATATATATATATATATATATATATATATATATATATATATATATATATATATATATATATATATATATATATAATATAATATATATATATATATATATATATATATTAATATATATATATATATTATATATAGAACGAATTTCAAAAAAAGACATGAAAAAAATAAAAGAAACGACAGAAATATGAGGGATTACAGAGATAAAAAGTAACAAACCCGAGGGGAAAAGAGATAGAAAAAAACAATAAAGAAATGCACAAAAAAGAGAAAAAAATTACACACAGAAGCACATAAGAAAGAGTGGTCGTTACAGCAAAACGTGATTTAAAACAAAATGAAAGAAAGGGGAGAAGCGCAAGAGAAGAAGAAATAGTGAAGTGAAGAAATAGTAAAGACTCAGAGAGGCAGGGGCTTCTGATGAAGACCAAAAATAAAGCTTTACTCCCCTGACTAAAAGGACGTTTTTCTCTTTGATTTTGACTAAGATAACGCCTTTATTTCCCCCGATTCTATTCTTTTTCTCTCTTCTTTGATTTTGACAACGATAACGCTTTGATTTCCCGTGAATATTTTTTTTTTTGAAAAGTTTTCTTTCTTTTTCTCCTTTTTTAAGTTTGCTTAGCTTTGATTCTATCTTTAATCTATTTATAGATTTTGACGACGATAACCTGCACGCTTTTTTTGGGGGGGAGGGGACGGAAAATGTATTTTTTTCTCTGATTCGGACCAGAAGACGGATTTTTTCCTGAGAGAGAGAGAGAGAGAGAGAGAGAGAGAGAGAGAGAGAGAGAGAGAGAGAGAGAGAGAGAGAGAGAGAGAGAGAGAGAGAGAGAGAGAGAGAGAGAGAGAGAGAGAGAGAGAGAGAGAGAGAGAGAGAGAGAGAGAGAGAGAGAGAGAGAGAGAGAGAGAGAGAGAGAGAGAGAGAAGAGAGAGAGAGAGAGAGAGAGAGAGAGAGAGAGAGAGAGAGAGAGAGAGAGAGAGAGAGAGAGAGAGAGAAGAAGAGAGAGAGAGAGAGAGAAGAGAGAGAGAGAGAGAGAGAGAGAGAGAGAGAGAGAGAGAGAGAGAGAGAGAGAGAGAGAGAGAGAGAGAGAGAGAGAGAGAAAAGCAACGATGTCAATAATAAATATGATAATAATGTTAACCACGAAGATGATAATGACAGCTATTGATAAAAAGCGATGGTGATAATCATGATAAGAACAAATAGAAGAATAATCGTGATGATGATAATGATAACGATAACGATAATGATAACGATAATGATGATAATGATGAAGATGAGGAGGAGGAGGAGGAGGAGGATTATGCAATTAAGCAATTTATGATAATGGTGACAATATTTATGAAAATGATAACTGACGAAAACAATATATAATTATCTTCGGCAATTCCAATTAACGATGTATATATCAACATACAAAAAATAGCCTTTGGAAACTTTCCATTTTTCTTTAATTATCAAATTATGGATTAAATCTGCGCAGTTATAGTGGCTCAGATAATAATAACAGAGAATGATTATAACAACAGTAACAGGGGAATGTCCAGCGCCCCTGCATCTACAACCACTCATGCCTTTGTCTGTGCTAATAACAATGACAAAAGAAACAATAACAGTAACATTTGTTGTAATGGGCAAAGGTAATATTCTCCCAACGATTTTCCCCTTCTCTTTTAGTCTCTACCTCTCTCTGTCTGTTTCTGTCTCTGTCTCTTTTTCTTTCTTTCTCGCTTTCTTCTTATTCTTTTTCTCCCTTCCTCCTTTTCTCCCTTCCTCCTTTTCTCCCTTCCTCTTTTCGCTCTTCCTCCCTTTCTCCCCTTCTCTCTTTCTCCCTTCATTTCTTACTCCCTTTCTCTCTCTCCTTCCTCCTTATTCTCTCCTCTCCTCCCTAGTTCTCCCCACCTTTCCCCTATCTTTTTTCTCATTCTCCCTCTTCCTTTCCTTCTCATCTCTCCCTCACTCCAATCCCCCTTACCCTCTCTCCCTGTCCCTCTCCCTCTCCATCCCCCCTCCCCCTCTCCCTCTCCCTCCTCCCCTACCAGCCCCTCTCCCTCCCACACGCGGCCAGCGCCCCTCGCGGCTCCATCACGCACCAAGTCAGCGTGGTCGGCGGGGAGGCAGCGGTGCCAGGGCCGGAGGCGGAGGCCGAAGCGGTGCGGTTTGCTTAGGCATGAGGAAGCGACCTGCGGCGGTGAAGAAGGACCCTGGGGCGAGGTGGACCTTGGGGCAGAGAGGATGACCCTGGGGCGAGGTGGACCTTGGGGCAGCGAGGATGACCCTGGGGCGAGGTGGACCTTGGGGCAGAGAGGATGACCCTGGGGCGAGGTGGAGGGAGACCTTGGGAGGATGACCCTGGGAGGTGGACCTTGGGGCAGAGAGGATGACCCTGGGGCGAGGTGGACCTTGGGGCAGAGAGGATGACGGGCGAGGTGGGGGATGACCTGGGGCGAGGTGACTTGGGGCAGCGAGGATGACCCTGGGGCGAGGTGGACCTTGGGGCAGAGAGGATGACCCTGGGGCGAGGTGGACCTTGGGGCAGAGGTGACCCTGGGGCGAGGTGGACTTGGGGCAGCGAGGATGACCTGGGGCGAGGTGGACCTTGGGGCAGAGAGGATGACCCTGGGGAGGTGGACCTTGGGCAGCGAGGATGACCCTGGGGCGAGGTGGACCTTGGGGCAGAGAGGATGACCCTGGGGCGAGGTGGACCAGGATGACCTGGGCGAGGTGGACCTTGGGGCAGCGAGGATGACCCTGGGGCGAGGTGGGGCACCTGGGCGAGGTGGACCTTGGGCAGCGAGGATGACCTGGGCGAGGTGGACCTTGGGGCAGAGAGGATGACCCTGGGGCGAGGTGGACGGGGCTGACCCTTTTGGGGCTGACCCTGGGCGAGGTGGACCCAGAGGTGGGGCGACCTTGGGGCAGCGAGGATGACCCTGGGCGAGGTGGACCTTGGGGCAGAGAGGATGACCCTGGGGCGAGGTGGACCTTGGGGCAGTGAGGATGACCCTGTGGCAGAGGTGGACCTTGGGGCAGTGAGGATGACCCTGTGGCAGAGGTGGACCTTGGGCAGTGTGTGGCAGAGAGTGAGCCCTGTGGCAGAGGTGGAACCCTGTGGCAGTGAAGTGGACCTTGTGACACTGAGGAGAACCTAGTGGCAGTGAGGATGACCTTGTTGCAGTGAGGTGGACGTCGTGGCAGTGCGATGAGCCTTGTGGCATTGATGAGGACCCTGTTGTAATGAGGAGGACCTCGTCGCTTCGAGAAAGACCCTTTCCCATCAAAGAAGACCTTGTCGCAACGGATGGGACTTTGTGCCTGAGAAAGACCGTTTATGTTCTGAAGACCTTCTTGCATTTGAATAAATCTGTGCAACCAAGACCTTGCTCCTTCGGAAGGAAGTTTTGCACCGCTAAAAGAATTTGTTCGGATAAAAAAAGGAAAATGCGCTAAAACATAACATCGACTTATAAATGCAATAGTCCTGCAATGGAACAAGACCCCGTTACAAAGACCCTGCTACAATGCAAAAAAAATATATGCATAAGAAATAAATTACCTTCTCATGTAATTTTGCAGTGAGAAATATATTTCACTAAAAATAAAATCCCGTGTTTGTCAGGAGAGAGAGAGAAAAAAAACTCAAACGGAATCAAAATAAAAACAGAAATAACTTGTTGCACCGGGAGAGCCTTGTTGCACCGAGGAAGAACTTGTTGCAACGGCAAACACCTCATTATACCGAAAGTCTTTTATACCAGAAAACGGTCGGAGCTGCACGGCGAGAGCGCGCGCATCAAGAATAGAAGTCTTTACGGCGGTAATGCTCTTCCTCCAGTCAAAGGGCTTTGTTGCGCCGCATAAAGGCGAGGCCGGGGATTTGTCCCGCACGAACATGAATGGAAAAAGTAAAAAAACAAAGAAAAACACAATTATTCGAAAATAATGTTTACTCGTGTTTTTCAATCGGCTGCTGTAAAATCATCTGGAAGCACACAAAGGAAAGGGAATACCTACAGGACTAATACATAAGTGTAGGCATGTACATCTGTATACATACAGAGATGTATTAGTGAGTGTGAGTGTTTGCGTTTCATGCCAGTGGGACGGTGCTTTTGTGGATGCTCCTGTACGTGTTAAAGTGCCCGCGTGTGCCTTTATGAGCTTTCATGTTCCAAAAACCGATTTAAAATCCTCTCAGCCCCGACGCTCCACGCTAAGCCAGCTGCCCCGCTTTTCCTTAACCTCCCAAAGACCATACACGCTCACAAGCCCACTTTCCCGGAGCCGCGAGGAAATACCCTGACCTTCGAAGCGCGACCTTAAAGGCAAGTTCAGTTACCAGTTACTGTTCGGCGTCGAGTGCCTATCAGCCGAGCGCCGCCAGGGCGACCGCCGCCTATCAGCGCCGGTGCAAGTGTCGAGTGCCACGGCCTCTCGGGCGGTGCTGCTCGGGTGCCCTCGCTCGCACGGCCGCCGAATATCCCCGGTGGGAAGTGCGTGTGGGTGTGGGGCCGGGGCGGGCTGGATGGGTGTGGGAGCGGGGTGTAGATAGGCGGTGAGGGGGTGCGGATGTGTGTGGGGGTGGGAGGTGAGTGAGAGTGAGTGCGGATGGTGAGAGTGAGTGCGGATGGTGAGAGTGAGTGCGGAAGGTGAGAGTGAGTGCGGATGATGAGTGTGTGTGTAGAAGGCGCGTATGTGAGTAAGGTCAGCCTGCATTTACGCTTGTGCTCGTGTCTAACCACAGCCACCTCTACGCCTTCAACCAACCGAGAGGATCGAACCTTTGCCAAAACATGTCCCCTGACGCCGAGCGCCTCAGCCCTCCCTCCAGCCCTTTATTTTCCCTCCAAACACCCTCTCGGAACCATATCTCCTTCTGCAGCTCCGATGAAGCCGGCTCACAGCCTGCTCTCTCAGGTGAAGAACCCTCTTTTGCCCTCAATAAGCGCCCATACCCTTATGCAACATCACGGACCCATTGTTCGCCCACTCAAGCGCTCACCCGGGGTGCGGCGCAAGGAGGGCGGGTGCTCTTGAGCCTCGAAAGAAGGAGAGGGAGAGGGAGAGGAATAAGAGAAGAGCGAATTAACAGAGGGAGAGAGGAAGAGGGAGGGAGATCGGGGAAGAGAGAATTGAGAGAGGGAGAGGGATAGGGGAAGAGAGAGGGAGAGAGATAGCGAAAGAGAGGGGGGAGAGGGGGAGGCATTGAGAAAGGAAGAGAAAAGAAGAGAGAAAAAATAAATAACGAAACAGACAAAGGAAAGGGAGAGATAGAGAGACTGAGGGAGGAGTCTAGAGGGGAGAAGGGAAGAAGGACCAAAGAATGAGTGAAAGACAAAAAGACAAAAAGAAAGAGCTAAATAATAAATAAACAATCATCAAAATCAAAAAGAGCCAGCAACCCCCACCCACCCCTTGCTTCTACCCCTCCCACCTGCACCCTCACCCCCACCCCCACATGAAATAACCTAACCATGCCATTGCTCTCTGATTATACAGAAAATTGCAGAATTGATTGTCTTGTTTGTTGCATAATCAGTCGTCATTAGATTTCCTGTCAACAAGATAAAGTTAAATAAACAAACAGGCTGAGACTCCCGGTGTTCGCATCACAGAGCATAACGTGTACACAACCCGATTTTAAGTGCAATAATGGGTGGAAAATGTGAGGACCATAAAGTCGGGTTGTGTTTTGGCGTTTTATAGCCAAAGCGTTCGTTTCCGTCGATGCGATTTTGATTTTCTTTGATTTTCTTGAGCATTTGTAACTCGTTCGGATTTATAAGTTGATTTATGAATCTCTTATTCGACATTTTATCTTCGGCATTAATATTCCTATCACATAATTATTATCATTATCATAATTGTCATCAAATTTATCATCACCATCACCGACATCATTATCATCTTTATCGTTAGCCTAAAATCATCAGCATTATCATTATCTTCATTGTTACTAAAATCATTATTGTTACTACTATTCACACTTTGTATGTTTGACCTTCTTTCTCCTTCTCCTCCTCCTCCGTCTTGTCTTTCTTCTCTTCTTCTTCTTCTTCTTCTTCTTCTGTTTCTTTTTCTTTTTCTTTTTCTTCCTCTCATCTTCTTCCTCCTCCTCTTCTCCTTCTTCTTCCTCCCCCCTCCCTTCCCTCCCCTACCCTCCTCTCCTCCCGCCTCCCCCTCCTCCTCCTCCTCACCCTTTCCCCCCTCCTCCTCCTCACCCTTTCCCCCCTTCCTCCACCCTTTCCCCCCTCCTTCTCCCTCCTCCTCACCCCCCCCCCCACTGCTCATCCCATTCCTCCTCCTCCTCCTCCTCCTCCTACCGCCTCCTCCTCCTCCTCCTCACCCTCCTCCTCCTCCTTTTCCTCACCCCTTCCTCCCTCTCCTCCTCCTC